TGAGGCCACCTGGTTGGAGAATCCCTCTGCAGAACCACAACCCCGGCGCGGCTATGAAGAACTCGGTCTTCCCCGTGTTCACGATCAGCAACGTCCAGGTGGCGATTTTGTCCATGGCGGCGATCGCGGTGGTGACGATAACCTAGGGCAAGCCCGATTTTGCGCACCGCGGAGGCCAGGGGTGGATTTTGTGCCGGTCGACGATCGTGATGGAGGGCGAGGGGATGAGGGTATCGCCGACCGCCGCGATTGGGACAGGTATGCTGGTGGTGGTGCGGGCCGATGGCCGCCGGACCAGCGACGATTTGGGGATTTTCTCGCTGCAGAACAGGGACCTGAGGTATTGTGGGCTAATGATTTTGATGACTTTGGTGGGCGGGCCCAAAGGTGTAATGTTGCCAGTTGCACTACCGTGTGCCTTGGCAGAGAAATTAGGAGAGTGTAGTGCACATCCTCAATTTTTTATTTTTAATTGAAAAATGAGATATAATACATAAATTAAAATATCATTAATTATTTATATTAAAAAAATAAAATAAAAATACCAAAATTCATAATTTTTCATTATCTATAAATAGAGACCACATTTGATAGGTTTTTGAACACAACTAATTTTTCGTTTTATAATATGTTCACCTTACTGTGTGCGTAACATGTTCATCTTATTCTATAACATGTTCATTTTATTATGTAACATGTTCATCTTATTCTATAACATGTTCATTTTATTAATGTAACATGTTCATTTCATTTTATAACATGTTCATCTAAATTTCATCTGTGAAAATGTAACATTTTCATCTTATTATAGAGAATTTTGGTTTGTGAAGGTGGAGGATATTCGATCGAAAGACTAATTTATGGAATTTTATTTACATTCTACTAGTTTTTCACTTTCATTCCCAATAGTATGACTATTGCATAAATTTGAGTTCTTAACTGTAGATTATGGTTTATTATTTCAGGGCAGGGATGCTTGCATTAAACGAGTGAAAGTCGAGCAAGAAATTGACCAGAGTTTTGTGTATGAAGTGGAAATGAGAGAAAATAATGTGAGAGCCCGTTACGTAGATATGGAATCTAAACATGTTCAGCTTATTCTATAACATGTTCATTTTATTATGTAACATGTTCATCTTATTCTATAACATGTTCATTTTATTAATGTAACATGTTCATCTCATTTTATAACATGTTCATCTAAATTTCATCTGTGAAAATGTAACATTTTCATCTTATTAGAGAGAATTTTGGTTTGTGAAGGTGGAGGATATTCGATCGAAAGACTAATTTATGGAATTTCTTTTACATTCTACTAGTTTTTCACTTTCATTCCCTATAGTATGACTATTGCATAAATTTGAGTTCTTAACTGTAGATTATGGTTTATTATTTCAGGGCGGGGATGCTTGCATTAAACGAGTGAAAGTCGAGCAAGAAATTAACCAGAATTTTGTGTATGGAGTGGAAATGGAAGAAAATAATGTGAGAGCCCGTTATGTAGATATGGAATCTAAACATGTTCAGCTTATTCTATAACATGTTCCTTTTATTATGTAACATGTTCATCTTATTCTATAACATGTTCATTTTATTATGTAACATATTCATCTTAGAATTTGAATCGATTATACTATAATTGACTAGATCATACTAGAAATGACTCGATTATACTAGAATTTACTGGATCATATTATAA